CATTTGCAAGTGAAACTTTTAGATCACATAGCAACAGCTTCAATCACTAAACTTCCATCACTAAGCAACTTCTTGGAAGTGGACTGATGATAAAATTACACACTCCAAGGTTTGCTCTATCATTAGATAGAACAGTCATTTTACATAGCAAATGTTACATAAGATGTAACAAACATAAATTTACTACATTGGCTCCAATTTCTTCCCAATATTGCATTACCTTCTGAATTGTAATGGAAAATGCCAATACAAGATACATCACTAGCTGCTTAGAGAGGACTGTAAAGACTGTGAAGTGATATATAAGTCTAAGTGCTATTGCTATTATAAGAATTAGAATTGAATTGAATTTGAATTTATTAAACTTCTATTCCGCCCTTCTCCCAAAGGACTCAGGGCAGTGTACAGCCATATTAAAACACATATAAACTCACAAAATTTAAAAACAATTTAAAACAAATATATAAAATTTGGCCCACAAGGTTAAAAGCTAACACCCGATTTAAAATTCATATTAAGCCAGCCCGGCCTGTTGGAACAAAAGAGTCTTAAGGGCGCGGCGGAAGGTACGCAGGTCAGGGATCATACGCACCTCTAGGGGCAGCTCATTCCAGAGGCCAGGTGCCCCCACAGAGAAGGCTCTCCCCCTAGGTGTTGCCAGTTGACATTGTTTGGCCAACGGCATCCTGAGGAGTCCCTCTCTGTGGGAGCGTATTGGCCGGTGGGAGGCTATCAGTGGCAGAAGGCGATCTCATATATGCCCAGGTCCTAAGCCATGGAGCGCTTTAAAGGTGGTGACCAACACCTTGAATCGCACCCGGAAGACCACCGGGAGCCAGTGCAGCTCGCTCAGGAGAGGTATTACATGGATGCGACGTGTCTCCCCCATAATCACACGCGCGGCCGCATTCTGGACCAGTTGGAGCCTCCGAGTGCTCTTCAAGGGTAGCCCCATGTAGAGAGTGTTACAGTAGTCCAGATGGGAAGGGACGGGACGAGGGCATGAGTGACCGTGTGCAAGGCATAAATCCGTGCGCAAGGCATTAGCATAAATCCAGCTGCCTAGATTCACTTTATTGTGAGATGGGTGGCATAAAATTTAATAAAATCAATAAAATCAATGTTATTTTCCCCTTTATTTACCCAAACAATCTGATCTCCTGAATAATGAGGTCCTGGACTTTGGCTCATTATTATTCATCTCTATTTGGAGCATGTCTGACAAATCATTAAAAGAAGACCTGGAGGCAACATCTCCATAATGGTAACATCTACATAATGATTGGTGGGAGGGTGAGGGCCTATAGAGATGGACCATTTTACTTACTTGTGTTTACCAAAGAACAGAACTGTTATTATTATCATGAAAATTGGGATGTTACCCCACATTTTCTTCTGCTTGTTTGGAATCCCAAGAGGAGTAGAAACCCTGTCATAAGGGTCCATTATGAGCCACAAGAAAAGATGCAGGTTGTATGGGCTGATGAACACGTTTTTTCTGCTTGGCTCTCATTTAAGAAGCATAAGAAGCAATTGCTGCATCAGTGCAATAATTGCTGCACTGGATGAGAAGCGAAAGATCATCTTGGAAAAACAAAGGAAGTCCAGTTGCCTTTTGAAAGAATGACTGAGAATCTCCATAGACATGCACCAGGGCGAAATCATACAATTTAGGAAAAAAATTAGGGAAAAAACCTCCTTCAAGTTGAGTTCAGTTCCTGGTGGCTTCTTGGACCCATTTATGTAGTCATCTTAGCAACAGTAAGTGATTTGTCATTGTCTTCTTTGGTATGTCTGGGATTCCCTGAATGTCTCCCATTTAAGTACTAACAAGGCCTGACTCTGCTTAGCTTCTGAGCCCAGAAAAGATTAGCTGAGTGCTGCCATCTTTTGAGAATCCTTCACCAAAATGAGTTACCTCCAATGATCTCTTAAGTATTTGATAGTCAGAAGAACTCTGTTTTATTTTATGCATCTGTGCTGGGTCTGACTGAACAAGTTTCTCTATTTCTTCCATTTGGATTGCACATTCATCCAGGTGTCCTTGAATGCTCTGTAGAATAAAATTGTATTTTGAATAAGTTGCCATGCACGATGCTGTTCAAGGAATCATTGCATACTTGAAAACATCTTAAAAGAACACAAGAACCTGTTTGAAAATGCACATTGTTGTATTTCAAAGGGATACATTCAGAGGATAATCTCCAAGTAAAAGTTAGTCCTAATCATGCTAACCTATATCCTTAACTGGAGTTGCAGAAAAATGAATCATCTACCACCTCCTAGACTCAAAGCTTATATTCTGCAACATAACCCACTGGAATAAATTTGCAAATGGAGGGGGGGGAGGTTCTATCTTAATTATATCATGCTTTTCCTATATTGGTTTGTGCGTTTTGTGCTTTTTGGTTTGGTTTAACACACTTATTTTAAGATTCCACATCTTTTAGGGCATGAGTGTCAAACTCAGTGTCATGGTGGCATCACATGACATATTGAGACTTTTTCCCCCTTCACTAAACCGGGTGTGGGTGTGGCCAGTGCGTGTCATATCCGGCCCGCAGGCCACAAGTTTGACAGCCCTGTTTTAGAGTCTTGGTTCTTCACCTGTCAAGACAGGATCAGAAACATGAACTGTAGTGTCCAGACAGGTGGCAACACAGGTGAGGACTAGCAAATGAAATTTATTTTGAAGGAGATGTTTATTCTTTTAATGTGTGTCTTACTTTTTCATCCCACCTTTGCCAATTACACCAGTCCTCTTTTCTTTAAGCTTCACAACAAACTCATAATATTATGAGATAGATTAGGGATGTACCCCCCTTTTAGTTCCAAAATGGAAAGAAGTGCTGCAGCAGAGGACCAGGCATGCTTCCTGTACCAGTTGATGCCTCCTTACAGGAAACACCTTTTCCTGCCTCACACTGCAGCCATACAGTTTCAAGAAATTAACACTTATTCTTGAAACTGAATGGCTGCTGTGCGAGCCAAGAAAAAGACATTAAGGAGGTACCAAGTCTCCTTCTCTAATGCTCCAAAAATGACAGCTTGGGGGCTTTTGTTTGTGTGACACACATCACATCCATAGCTGGCTATGCCTATTGATGACACATTTTGGAAAGGAATTATTTTGGATGGTTTTTGATGCCACTTACCTCTAGCCTTTGCAACCGGGCTTCTTTACCCATAAGATCTGGCAGCAGTTCTTTTTCTGCATTTAGCTTGACTCTGAGAGCAGACAGCTGTGTTTGCAGAAGCTTGAAGGATGCATCAAAGTCTTTATGCTGTGATACCAAAGCCTAGCCAGAGAGAAAAAGCTGATTTCATGCCAGTCCTGAGAGCATGAATGCTTTCTGCCAACTCACAACACAGACCTGTGAGTACATCAGAATGAAAATAACAACCTGACTGAAGTAAAAACTGAATGATGTATTAATCATTGTAGTTGGTGGTGTATTAATTGCTGCACTATTAAATCACAATTATTCTTCTTATCAGCTGGCTTTTTAGAAGAAGCTTACCTGTAACCTGCTTTTCCTCTGGAGTAGCCCTTTGTGCAGGTTTTCTAATTCCTTTGTAGCATCACTAACTTCCTCCAAGAGTAACTTTGCTCTCTCCTGTTTGAAAATATTGCCCAGGAAATCTTTTTTCATCTGGACTTTCAAGAGTTGTTCCTTAAGATGGGAGCTTTCAACCAGAAAAATCTACAAAAGAGAATAATTGATTGTTATGCATTTATGTCAATCATTTTTATTTTCCTACTTTGAAAATATTTTCCCCAAACAGGAATAATTAGAATAATAATTTTAAAAAACCCAATTACAACTCAGAAATATTATTAAATAAGTTTATCAGCATGCAATTTATAACAACATATAAATATGTCAGTGTAATGTATCTTTACCTAAAAATATCAGAACAATGCAGCAATGGTATTCCCTGTAACACTAGATGAAAACTGGAAGAACCAGGTCAGAAAGTTTGTTGATGCTTTTCAACATTGCTTTTGGAGGATACTATGGACATCCAAGGAAACAAATAAATGGATAACTGGATCAACCCAGAATTTTCACTTGAACACAAATGACCAGACTCATATTATTTCTCTTTGAATGTATTATTCAAAGACTATTTCTCTGGAAAAAGTTCTCTGTCAGTTACAATGACAGAAGGTGTCTCATTTGAAGATCTGAAGAAAAGGTTAAGAACAGATCATAGTGGGGAAAAATCTATTTGGAAAGTAATCTCTGTATTAACCACATTGATTAGAGACAATGGATTAGACAAGGTTATAAGAGATTGGAAGTCATTTGCGGCCTTTTAGAATGTTAAGTACAATAACAGACTGTTAACAAAGATTTGAAGACTACTTTTGTTTCTGGGGTTACCTATTAACTTTCTCTTTTAAGTGAAGAGATGCTGGCTCGACTTGATAGATGGACAACAGATCAGGGACATCTTTTTATGTAACATAGTATTTTTAGTAAGAAACTATAGATGGCGAAATAGTTGTAGACCTGTTATGCAAGGGGGAGGAAAGTGTATCAGATATTTGAGATATATGTTTCAGCTTTAAATCAAGGTGTACATTTTATGTTGATTATTAATATTAATGATATAGTTGTTATTTGTTCTACACACATTTTATTATTGTTTTTTGCTTGGCTGGTTTATATACAACCGACATCTTTTTTCTTTTTATTCTGTATTTTAATTTTGGAGATGAATATAAAATTATTTTTAAAATAAAAGTAGAAAAAAAGTTTTAAAAAAAGAAAGTAAAGTCTATGGGGTCACTATGGGCAGGCACCAATTAGATGGCAATCAATCTCTACAAAAATTAAAGAAATATACCAGCATATAAAACTGCACAATTTTATACAGATGGCATTGGGGAAAGTTCCTAAAGCTCCTGAAAAATGGGAAAAGGGGAATGTAACTGGAGAGAGCATTTTACAACTATAGTTCTGCTATTAAAGAAGCCTTGTCTTTTTTTTCAGATGAACCAGAGAACAGAGCCTTGGACTCAGAATTCAGAGCTTTATATTTGAGAGAATGGTCTTAGCTATGCAAGGCTTCTAATAATCTCCTATAACTGTTTTCCAACCACATTCTAAGGAAATCCTGGTTTCCTGGTGAGCTTGTGAGGATCTGTAGAGTTCCAGAAGGTTCCAGGACGTTGACATTTCAATTTAGGGAGACATAAAAAAGAAATTCCAAAGTGGGCAGGAGGACAAAGTAGAGGAATTGACTTGCTCCAACTGTTATTAGGTGAGAGTTAACTTTATAAGCATTTAGCAGCAAAGGGGGATTTAGGGTGAATGCATGTTGAACTTTTCCCATTATGCACTATTATAATACGTTCTGGTACAGGCTAGAAATACACTATGATGTTTTTGCAGAGTACACACACACACAGACACACACACACATGGACTGTGTGTGTGTGTGTGTGTGTGTGTGTGTGTGTGAGAGAGAGAGAGAGAGAGAGAGAGAGAGAGACTAGTCAGACTAATAAATAAATAATATAACAGACAAAATATATCAATAGGGGTTGTTTGATTTCTAGAACCTTGCATTACTACCATGTCTTTATCTTTTATTTCAACTGTTTATTCCAATATACAATGCTAAATTGTTAAACTTGCTGAAGATTATGACGATGATGGTTAAATTAGCCTGGTATTCAAATATTTATTGATATTTACTTACTGATCACTATTTGACCAGGATGAGGAAAAATGATGCATATGAATGTTCACAATTTACAAGTTCTCCTGACATTGTGATGATTGTTGTACAGGCTAAAAATGTTTCCCATGCTAATACAGAATAGTCTTAAATTCTTACAAGATTACTGTGTTGGTTTATGTTTTGGTTTCTGAACACATCAAGTTTAAGATTCCAAATGTTATAAAGTCATCACCTCAATCTGACGCAGGAATGCATCTGTCAATGCAGGATCAGAAACATGGACTGTGGTGTCCAGGAGTCGCTGAGCTGATGGTTTCCACAGCTGAAACTCCCTCAGGGGGTTTTGGAAGCGCTGCCTCAACTCTGTTTCAATCTCTGTGCTCAATTTAAACATTTTCCCCTTCAGACTGAAAAAATAAATTAACAAAATGATGAAGTTTTATTAATGAACTATGAAGGATTTCATTTCTTCCTTGGCAGAAGGGAGAAGTGAATCCCAAGTTGGACTGAAAGGGACGAAAAGCCTGGGCATGTAATCTGCTTTCTTAACACAAAGCAGCTCTTTTTCTGCTTCCTATATTCTCCTGGCTTCTTCTTTCCACAGCTGCCTTTGCCAATCAGATAATCCACAAAACCGTTTTTAGATGCATTTTCTTTGCACCTGCTGCAGGGAATTACAAGAAGCTAGCTGTGCAGCTTGGATTCCCCAATAGCCTCTTAAAGATCAGCTTTAAGATTCACACACCCACCATCTATTACAGGCCTAGAGCAGAAAGACAACAGAGACACTAAAGGGGGAAAATAACTACCAAAAGATGGATTTTTCCCTTCACAATGACGATCATAGTGATTTTGTTGGTATTTATTCATGTGACTTTGTATCATCTTAATTACAGAGATGGCCTAAGGTATTTACAATTCAAGACATACACCACTGAAATCTAGCTTTAAACTCAGCCATATAGCCATAATATTAAGATTATCTAATTTATTTACAAATAACAATTAACAAGAAATATGCACACTAGGTATCAAGGGAGTCCAATTTAGCAGTATTCTCCATTCTGGGATCCCTTAGTTAGGTAGGCTGGCACAGTGCATCATCTTGTCTGCATTTGAACTAACTTATTTAGTAGGTTACTGAAATAATATTGAATCATATACTCACCAATGAGGTGGATTTACACAATAAGGCATGTGATCAAGGTTAAAATTTAGCAGTTGGAGCAAGACGTGCAGCCACAAGGTTAAGTGTGTTTATTGTAGAATACCCCCTTTCTATATATTATATTGTCTGCATGTACAAAATATTGGATTTAAAATATGAGGTTGGGATGATAGATCTTTTTATTTCCCCATTCTGCTCTTAAAAAGGGGCAGCCATGAAGCAGAAAGTTCACTCTGATTTGACAGAGTTAACAGATGTGTTTTGTGGCTTCTCCTCCACCTAATTTTAGTATTACTGTCAAAATACTCTTTAGAATGAACTAGCCAGACTTGAAACTGTGTGGTGCAAAATACCTAGAAAATGTAGCTATGTATCCGGTTCAATTCCTAAAAGCACAGTTTTGTTACTGTTTAAAAATTCTTTAGTGATTTTGTATTAAGAAGTTATTTTCAGTTTGCCTCTGAGCATACCTGGAAACAGTGTTTTGTGTGAACTCTGATTCTGTTTGTGTATTAGTTAAAAAAAATACTGGTTTATGTTTAAATCTGAACAAAATTAATCTCATCCTCTCTGCAGGTGTCTGGCTCCTTCTATCCACTGACTGAAAAAGAAAAACTTGTTTTTACTTGCTGAAAATTCCAATCTGCTTGTGTCTCTGGCTCACAACCTAAGGCACAGCTTATTTTTAATTTCATTCTCTAGCTTGAAGGGACCTGGCAGGCAGTAATGGCCAATACACAGGTTTTTAGAAAACAAACATAAAGCTTTCCTTAGGAAACATATTTTGTTTTCAGTTAAACAAAACAATAGAAAAGGGATTATCCCACTCAGCATGCCACAATGCTCTTGTGATAGTAGCTATCCTGTAAGGACAGTCTATGTTTAACATACTTTTGGAAGAGCACAAGTCCTTTGATCACTACCTTCACTGTTGTTTCTTCTGTCTCTTCATAATCATTAGTGAGATTATCATTTCCTACAAAGGAAGCAATGCCTCTTTGGAAGATGATACCAATGATCTGTCATCTTTACTATGGCAAATTTTCAGACATTCCATTCTTACTTTTCCTCACTGGCAAAAATCCCAGACTTGCTTCCTTAACTCTGAATTAATGTTTCTCCTGCAGTAACTAATTTCATTAACAGAAAGCCTTTTTAGCTTGCCAAAACAGTCTATGCTTATCACAAGAAAGCCAGTATTTAGATACAAGCAAACATTTGTCTGTGCCTTAACCAGCTGTTGACAACCCTTTTCCCAGATCTGAAAAAAAAGATTATGTAGATAATTTCCTGACTGCATTTAGCATGGAAGCAAAAATGTTTTAGTAAAGCTAGAAGCGGGAGGGGGGACTATGTCTATCCAGAAAAACATGCATGGGAAAAAAATCAGGAAAGAACACATGGAGAAGAAGCCTTCTTATCATTACTGTTGCTACCTGCATAACATTTGGCTAACACCTCTGATAATATGTACAATTGTACATATATACACAAGTACAAGACAGCACACAATAAGATAATGACTTATACAGCGTGAGCCAGTGATTCAATTATTTTGCTCCATTTTCAAAAAATCCTGCCATGTCCAGACTTCCAAAAAGCAGGAGGGAAAGTAGGATACAAAGTTAACTAGAATGATTTTTCCTTCCCTTTTCCTTTCCTCTCTCTTCATTGTCCCTTGTATCATCCATAACAAGACAGCAGTGCAAAAAGCAAATATGGTAAGTATTTCTTACTTTTCTCAGAAGATTATTCAAGATGACTCAGTATTATCAATATTAACTAGTTTTCTGGCTAGTTTTCTGATGACTTTTCTAGTTGGACAGAGTTTCATTTTGGAAACTGGTAGTTGTACAACTATAGCTTTTCCTAATCAAAAGCTACTGATAAAGAAAAGCTACAAAATCAACCCATGAGTAAGATCTTAAAGCTGAAATAAATCGACATTCTTTCTATATCAAATCATGAATGGGACCCACCACCATTTCAGGAAAGAGTCATAATGCAATAAAGCTTCCGATGCAGAGAACTTGGATTCAATACCTGGTCTCTTACAGGTAGAACTGAAAAAATTTTAGTCTGAAATTCTGGTGAGTTACTGTCAGTCAGTAGAGGGTACAGAACTAGATGACCAAAGAACTGATTCCATAAAAGGCATTTCTGTATGTTCACCAATGATTCATCCTGAATCACCAATGTCACTATCTGCCAAGAAAAGTCAGAAAGCACATCCTAGGAATGTGGATAGCAAATGTCTCTAGATGACATGAGAGCATAAACCACATTATATGCCTCTTTCCAAAAAGTTGGAATATTTTCAGTCTTCAGGTGGTTTTTTTTTTAAGAGTTGTAATATAATGATAAAGGAACAGATTTAATGTTTAGGAAGATGTGAAAATAGTATAGTATATACTATATATACTATAAATAGTATAGAAATTTGAATAATAAATAAATAATAAAAAGACATTTATTTGAACAGCCAGATGAGAGGGATATTTTGAAAGCAGATGCAGGTTTCCTTATATTACATCCAGTGGTGGATTTCAAAAATTTTTACTACCGGTTCTATGGGTGTGGCTTGGTGGGCGTGGCTTGGTGGGTTCGGCAGGGGAAGGATACTGTAAAATCTCCATTCCCTCCCCACTTCAGGGGAAGGTTACTGCAAAATCCTCATTTCCTCCTGATCAACTGGGACTTGGGAGGCAGAGAATAGATGGAGGCGGGGCCAGTCAGAGGTGGTATTTACCGGTTCTCCGAACTACTCAAAATTTCCACTACCGGTTCTCCAGAACTGGTCAGAATCTGCTGAAACCCACCTCTGATTACATCTGCCCAAATTCCCTTCCTGACAGGATTACTATGGAGTGATTGCACTGAAAAATACCTGATTATTTTCCATTCATACACATACTTTGGTGCCTACATTCTACCTATTACATGGGTGTTATTTCATAATGTTCCATCTGGAAACTGAAAGCCAGTTAAAATAAGCAACTTCTCACCAGGGCTGGGAGATCTTTGACATGCCTCTACAAATCTCTCTTTCCTATGATGTGGGGGGAAAAAATCCAATCTGGATGGCAACCAACTACATTTGAGCCAGAGTTCCACAATGGTTTGTCCGTATTGGGGCTGAAGAATCCAGGTTTAAATCCCCATCCAACCACGGGTTAACGTGAGCCACTTATTATCTTTCAGCCTGTCTCCACAGTATTATTATGAGATGAACTATTGCAAGAAGTGAGGGAAACGTATAAAAGGCACCTAGAGCTTTGAGAAGGAAAAAAAAAAGACAAATCTTGTTTCAAATAAGCTTTGAGTCCAGTGGAAGTCAAGAGAGGTAATTTGCCATTGCCTCCTTTCAGATTTATGTTTCTTAATTTTGAAACAAACTGTCTATATCAATCCTTTCATTGAAATGTATTTTTGGAGCGATCTAATCCCCTTGCTGTCATTTATTCTGAGTTGTGCCACTTCCTACAGCAAAATACCTTTGATGTTCTCGTATGGCATGGATCACACTCTCAGAAAGAGGCTGCAAGTCTTGTGAAAATTTGAACAACTCCTTCAGTTGAATCTTCAGTTTCTCAGCCGTTGGCTCTTCTGCTGTAAGGTTTGCCTTTGTTGCCTTAAAAAACAAAATTATTGTCAAGAAATATTGACATACATAGCTGTGTTTGTTTTTTAACTTGCATAAAATCTACAAACATCCAAACATATAAAAATAAAAACATAGCCACAATATAGCATAAATGTACATTTCACAATAAAAGCAAACTTACAGTGGCAACTTCTCCCATCCCAATGCTTCATAAAATCATACATTAAAAACATCCCGAAACTTCAACTGAAGAAAACTCATCAGCTTGTGATGAAAGTTCAAGAGGAAACAAACAATGGCGTCTTTCATTGTTTCATAAATTAGCTACAGGTAAAAGTGACTTATTTCCACCAACATTAAAAAAAAATAGGACACAAGAAAAAAGACCTAGAATTACCTCATGTTAATATCAGTTTCTTAGTGGGAATAGAGTAAAGTATGCCTGTTCCAATGAAATGGAACATCCTGGATAAGGGCATAATTCATTAGGACCCATTAAAATGTTGCCATGAAGATGTCTCAACCATTTATTTTAATATACAGTAATCGCATCTGCATAGACGAACAAGCTTGAATTTCATTGTAATTTCATTATGTGGCCATCTGTCTTTGTTCCCAGTTGGTTTCTGTCCAATAACTACTCACCATGTATTCTCTCCATAGAGAAATTAAATCCTCATCACTTCTCACAATATCATCCTTTTCAAAGTGGTTTCCTAGTCCTTGCAGCCTTTTACGGAATTCTTGAACATCAGTTTCGAGCATCCTGGCCTGGGTGTGGTAGGTGTTTTCGGACTGAAGGCTCTTCAGCAGTTTCTCCTCTTCCTCCACACTCACTAGCTTTATATTCTCCAGGAGTTTTTTCAGCTCCTCAAGTTCAGCCTTCATCTTTTCTGCACCCAGGGGAGAGGTGTTTTGCATCACATCTATAGACTGTGCTTCCAGATGTTTCAATTTCTTTTCTCCACCCCTTACATCTTTTGTAATGTCCTGCAGGAGAAAAGAGCTGCAAAGTAAGTGATTCCCAATCTCACATGTTGAATATATGCATACTGAGGCAGCATAAACCCACCATACATTGCTGCCTATGGACATAAGAAAAGGCCTTATGCCTTGTGCCTAGTTAACCAAATTCTTTTGAATGGTCATCATGCCAGGAATGTTATAACCATGAATCCACCAGACCAAGACTGGATCAGGCAACATTGGTTCTTGGATTTATGTCACATCTCTGTTGGGAAACAATAATGTGCCAGTTCAGCGTGCCTGACCACTTCTGATATGATTACACATCTGTATGGTACTATCATCTTCAAAAGATGGAGCACCTCTAAATGCTTGGTCCATTCATCAAAACAAAATATAACATAAAACCCCTGACTGCTAGCAATTCAGCAGGATTTAGGATTTGGCAACAAGAATTCTTTATTTTTGAATCCATACAATATCCTGATGGCAGAAATGGCAACTTTCCCAAAGTAACGTAATAAATATAGTCAAACATAGCTTGGGTAGACTTTCCATACATATACAATGATCCCACTCAATACATATAATCCATGAACTGGATTGATTACCAAACATCACTCTACACATGTGTTTGTGATCAGTGCATACAAAACATATGTGTGTATTAAGCTTGCAGATCACACCAGTCATATTGGGTTCTAATCTTCCTGGGTTAGCATCCCTAACATATAGTTTGGTTTTCTCCTCCTCTTTGCATTTGTACAATGAACTCTGTATTAAGTATCAAATAAAGAAGCAAATGTATATATCTCAGTTAAAGACTGGTTTAACTGCATTGACGCCACACTCTGTTCCTTAAAAATCATTTTGTCCTACAACTTATGGCTCACAATGTTGCTTACTCCATTCTAAGTATGCTTCTGACTAGTCCCAAAAATTCTTACAAGATTGGGATGGTAGGCATGTAGATACAGGAAAAAATGGTTCCAGAAATATTTTCAAGAATGTTCTATATTTTATATCTTATAGTAACAGAGTTTCAGCCTCTGAAGGCAGGGCAAAACTTCCAAATTCTAATAAACTGGATCTCATGGCTGTAGTAAATCCAGACAGTTTAAAAACAGAAATGAAAAATGAATTCAAATTTGATTTTATATTTCATGTTACATATTTATTATTCTTTAATATGGACGTAAAGGTACT